AAGCAAAAGCTGCCACGCAGGCCGTTATCAGGATGACACTGGCCTCCTCCAAGTGGAAGCAGCCTTGCTCACAGTCTCCTCCTGTGAGGTGTTTGCTACCAAGAGCTATAGAGGGTCCCAGATTGTATCCTCTTGCAAACTCACAAGTTAGCCACAGTTCTACAGATGTGGGTAGGAGACTCTTGGGCCAGAAACAAAACTCTTTATCCCTCACTGTCACTGAGCAGGCAGCATCAGTATCGCATTTGCATTGGTGCCTCTGGTCCACCCAAGGGGACAATGTGGGGTGGGGGGCGTCTAGGAAATGTGGCGCACACAGGGGGTTTACGTCACACCTGATGGAATCTAAGCTTAGGAAACCTAAACCTTTTAAAACGGGCATAAATTTACCTGAGGGAGATATTATCTTTATTGGAGGTAAAAATACCTGCCATCTGCTCCTTACCCCAGGGGGAGACACTGTCTGTTTCTTCCAGTGCTGCCTGCTATATGAAAATCCCCTACGACAGGATCTAGAACAAAGGCTGTCAGTGCCTCTGCTGACAAGACTTGCAGGAATGCAAGAAACTTCCCAGAGAACAGTCCCTCCACACTCACAAACTGCAGAGACAAAGAGTCCTACCCTCCCACGATAGCTCTCATCTCATCCCTAGAGAGAGCAGAGGCTGGAGCAGGCAGGGATGACTCAGGAAGGGGAAGTCCTTGAGCCTGGTCTTGAGGGATGGCCTGATCCCATTCTCTGGGGTGGCTTGTCCTGGAGAATGCCTCCTCCAGATTCCACTCTAAAACATGGATCGGCCAGGATCCAGAGGAGCAAGGATCCATGGGTGAGCAAATAGAATTCCCCCTGTCCTCCCCCAGAGCAAGAGATGTTCTGCGTGCTCAGTTGCTGCAGTCATGTCTGACTCTTTTGCGATCCTGTGAACTGTAGCCCACCCGATTCCTCTGTCCAAGGGATTCTCTAGGCAAGAATACTGGAGTGGGTTGTTATGCGCTCCTCCAGGGGATCTTCCCGACTCAGGGATCGAACCCAGGTCTCCTGCATCTCCTGCACTGGCAGGCAGATTCTTTACCACTAGCACCACCTGGGAAGCCCAAGCGATGCTCTAGTTTTTAATTTTATATTGGTGTATAGCTGATAAACAATGATGTGGTAGTTTCGGGTAGATAGCAAAGGGACTCAGCCACACATACACACATATCCATTCTCCCCCAAACTCCCCTCCCATCCAGGCTGCCACATGACATTGAGTCTGTTCCCAGTGTTACACAGTAGGTACTTGCGGGTTATCCATTTTAAATACAGCAGTGTGTACATGTCCATCCTAAACTCCCTAACTATCTCTTCCCCCCATCCTCCCCTACCCCTTGGCAACCATAGTATTGCCTAGAATCTGAATCACATTCGAGGCCATTCTCTTACCACTGAATGAACACCCCTTACAGCTCTCGATCTCTTTCCACTCTGTCTGTGGCATACGGCACACCACCCCCGAGTAACAGCGTCTCCAGAGTTCTCCAAATACAGCCCGGAGGCTCCTGCTCTCCAGGTTCACCCACAGAAGCAGAAAGAGGGGGTAGGGAGCTGCAAATGTGCCTTTCTCTTCACCACAGGCAAGTGGTGAGATGTTTAGAACTGGGTCACCTGGCTTATCTTCTGCCCTCACTGAGATTAATTCACAAACGTCGCATTCAGAAGGCAGGCCAGATGCCATTTCAGTGCCTCTTTGGATCATTTTGCTTTTTCCTACAGGGCCCACCCAGCAGCCAGGACCCTCACAGTCACTCTTCTGAATTATAAATAAGTCAGCTCATCACACCACCTGCCCTTTCTCCCCGAATTCGAATTCGGAGCGGGTATGCACATGCCACGGCACAGGATCCCTGTCTGACCCGCCTGCTCCTAGGAGCTCTCTCGAGGTTTCCACAAGCCCCTAATCTTCTGCCCCTCGCCCCAGGATCTCTTAAACAAATGTTATATAATCAATTATTTCATTGGCCTATTTAATTGATTTATATGCACTTTTAAAAGCTTTACACTGCACAGGGAAACACATCTATCATAATCCTTGATTGAACTGGAAAAAGGAGAAGGGAGAGAGGGAATTAAAACTTATTGAGCGCTTATTATGTGCCAGGTAATACACAAGCTACTTTGCATACATTACTGAGTTTAATCCTCACCACTGCCTTGTGAAGTGAGTATTTTTTTTTCCCTACTCAGTAGATGAGGAGACTCAGACCTGCAGAGGTGAAAGGACCTGCCCATAGTTACAGAGCATCAGCTGGAATAAGCAGATTCAACTGCAGTTCTGAGTCAAAGCCAATATCTACTTCAGGATTTAAATATCAAATGTTTCTATAAAAAGTTATGAATAAGAAATTTCACCCATTATCGTAGCATTGTTTCATTGAGGAAATAAGATCCAGTTGGCATTGCTTCCCTGAACCACATCTTTTACTACAACTGAAGGTGCCCAAGTGCACCATTTCATCCAGTGCCGGGAGGGGAGGCAGGAGGAAGGGACGGCTGAGGGGTAAGGTAGGGTGTTTACAAAGCCTGAGGACTTTCTCTCTAAACATTAACACATTATAGGAAAGTCTTCAACAATTTCTACTCAGTGCCATTGTGAAAGGGTAGAGAACCCCAAGAAGGGTTTATAGACAGTAAGTCACTGTGTGTAGGCACAGGGGAACAGCAAAGAACCAGCCGCTCATGGTCCCTCAGAGCCCATATTCTAGAAGCTAAAGTGGCGCTCAAAACCTGAAACAGCCAGTTAGGCACCGCCCTGAGCTGGCGGAACAGACACAAGTGCTGGTGTCTGGGCAGGGTCCAGGGGAAGGGACAGCCAACCTGAAGCCTGAGTGATAAGAGGAGAAGCCCTTTACCTTCCTTTCATGACACAGGTGAGCACCGTCAGTCCAATCACGTGGAGCCCCAAGACCAAAGTAAGGCTTGGTCTATTAGTCTGGGTTCTCCAGAGAAGCAGGACCAATAGGATGAGATGATACATAGACAGACAGACAGACAGACAGACAGGTAGGATATATAGAGACAGGGGTTAAAAGGAATTATAAGGAATTGCTTAGTGACATTATGGAGACTGACAAGGCCCAAGAACCACAAATTTACAAGCTGAAGATCCAGGGGAAAGCCACAGTAAAATTCCATTTCAAGTTCAAAGGCCCAAGAAGCAGAAGAGCCAACAGTGTAAATTCCAGTCTGAGTCTGAGCCAAAGGCAAGAGAAGGCCAATGTCCCAATTCAAAGGCAGTCAGGAAGAGAAGCATTCCTTCTTATTCACAGGGAGGTCAGCCTTTTTGTTCTATTCAGACCTTCAACTGATTGGATAAGGCCCACTCACATCAGGGAGGGCAATCTGCTTTACTCAGTCTATCAGCTCAAATGTTAATCTCATCCAAAACCCCTTCACATACCCAGAACACATCCAGAATATGGTCTGACTGAATATTTAAGCACCCCATGGCCCATCAGGTTGACACATAAAATTAAACATCACACCTGGGAACGTATTTACCCCTTTACTAAGTAGAATCAAACTGCTGAGTTTTTTGACTTCTGCATCTATTTTGTAGTTTTTATGTCTCTTATTACCAGACTGTCACTGCTGATACCCACTGCCCCAGCCCATAGAAGGACCTCTCCTCACTTCTAATTCACTCTGGGTTTGAAAACAAGAGTGCTGCTCTAGCTGGAATTTAAGAACTTGAACGAATACACAGACTTGGAGGTAAAATGCTTGAGACGTAGAGCAAATATTTTGTGACATCTCTTTTATCTTCTCGAAGGGAACTTTTTTCACGTCTATTTTGATTCTTAAAGCTGTGATCTAGATAAGGCAAGTTACCAGATAATATGAAGACGTTCTGTATGAGGATTGAAATAATAATAGAGGGCAAGTCATAGATAGCAATGTTTTGACAACTTCAGGGGGCAATTTGGTATTCAGGAATCACAAAATACAACAAATGTGAAAACAGGCAGCTAAACAGAACTGATCCTCCCAGATTTTTTTGGTCTCTTTAAATTATCCTGGGAAGAATAATTTCTTCCAAAGCCAACAGAATGAATCTTCACTGTGACTTCTCAGGCAATAAACTAGCCAGGTCCTAACCAAAGAGTTTCTGGAGACAATGGGTTTTTACTCTTTAAAATAATCAGAATATTCAGTACTTAACACAAACACAAGAAGCAGCATCCATTCAGCTTGGCACCATTTTATCAAGTGTGAGTGTCAAATTTTTTATAGCTTCAAATTAACAACAAGGAGCTGGAATTTTTGTGTTTATTTGTTTAAAAGACCAGCGGAGATTTTTCTTTTTGCTTGTTTAAGCTTCATTTAATTCAAGCTCCAATCTGCCCCTCTTTGATTGCATTTCCAAATCCTAAATAAAAGTGATAACTCTTTCTGCCAATTGTAACAAACTGCTGGTGCCAGTTATTGCTTTTGGAAAAAAAAAAGGGAAAAGCAAAAAAAAAATGAAAAAAATCTCTTAATACTTAGCTGACAGCTTTATCCAAAAGGGGGGAGAAAACCCTGGCCTTTCAAAGCCACCCGATATATTTGTAACAACCTCTTTACTGAGTTCATGTATCTTCTTTATTGTTCTTCATAAACAGGCTATTGGATCTCTCTAGCTTGCAATGTGAAAAATGAAAGAATTTCCTCCCATCCATGCCTCTCTCATCTCATAATTGTTTTGTTCTGAGAGGTAGGGGAGACCCGTATAAATGTCTCTGCTATTTTATTTGTCCTCTCCAAGCCCATTCATGCTTTTCTCCAGGGCTTTTGACTCCTGCTCTGTTTCTGCCTGAACCTCTATCTGCTTACTGTTCTCCGCATCAAACCCCACTAAAGTGTTTGAGATTTCATTTCAGAGGGTGATGTAAGAGAGATAAGAGTCAAAGGCATTTGAAAAGCCACTTTCCAGTGTGTCTGTGCTGGGTAGGTTGGAGGGGGAGGCACAGCTCACCTGACATCACAGAGAACATCCTAGCTCAGGTCTGCAGCATCCACTTCTCTTCTCTGTTCTTTCCGGAGGGCCCTGCGGCTGTGCCTTCTGCTCCTGCTGCTGCGGCTTCAGAGGCTTCTCCATCTCTCTGAGCTCCAGCCTCATTGCCGTCCCTGTGAAACTGAGGTCCGCCCACGACAAGAACAGCCCTTGTTAGGAACAGGCAGGTCTGAGAGCCTGTGGAGTGGCTTGTTGGGGAAAAGGCAAAATTTTTCAATGTAGTACATTGTCCTATAAATGTAGCAGATGCCCACTCCAGGAAGAGGTCCTGGAAAGGAGTCTGGAGTGGGTGGAAGCTGTTCACTAAACTTTGATTCTTCAATGATAGGCATCAGAGTCAGCATCTCAGACTTGAGTACCGGAGCAGTTCTATGTAAAGGAGAAAAAAAAAAAACTATGAATACTTATTAGTCAGGCTTGGCTGTGATACCACTGTGTAACAAATAGTCCCCAAACCTCAGTGGCTTACAACAGACATTTCTTTCTGTTCACTCTTGGGTCCATAGGTTAGCTAGACTCAACTGGGCTTGGATTAGGTCTGCTCCATGTATGTCTCCATAATGGAACTGTGAATTACACAGGATATATGGATCTCATGGTGCAGGCAGAAGCAGCAGAGGGCAAACCCAAACATTCAAGCTTGGGCACACCCCCACTTCTGTACACTGGTTACATGGCTGCGCTGGAAGTGAGTGAGGCAAATATACAAATACACACCATCCTAAGGAGGAAGAGAAAGGGATACTGAGTGATGATTTGTTCAACAACAATCCTCTCAACACAAATACACACACATACACACAGGGTCAGAGAGAACTTCTTTCCAAGGAGGCAATAAATCCTGCAAAACAGAAGTTGCTTGCTCTTCCTACCTACCCCTGGCTATTAGGAGCAGCTCAACAAAGATATTTTCGGATGTGGGACTGAAAGTAACTTTAAATGCCACTTAGTCCTACATCTTCACCAAGGGAAGTTTTTAGTAACAGCTCCCATGATGGGAAGCCGCATGCTTAAAAGAAACCCATTCCAAGCACACAAAATGAGCCTTCCACAGTACAGCAATGCCTCAGATGTTAGTGGCCAGCTCTTAGGGTATCACCTAAGCCTTTCCTTTTCTGAGTGAAAAGCCCTGAGTGTCTTTCCGTCAAAGCCCATGGTTTGGAGTCAGTCTCCTCTAGGCACGTGCTCTTTGTTAATGCATTTCTTATACTGAGAACCCAGCCCAGAACTCCAGAACCACAACATTTGTGTTAGCAGAGTGGGGTGATCCTTTTCCCCTTCCCAGAGAGGGACCACTCAGGTTGAGCCTAAAATTATCTCAAGTCAAGACACTCTTAGAAATGTTGCTAAACCACTCATTGGTCAACTACGTATGGAGTGCTCATGACACAGCCTGCATTCGGCAAGGTGCTGGGGACAGAGTGGTCAGCAAAGTTGACATACATGGTCCTGGCTCTCATGGAGGCTATTTGGACAGACAGAAAAGAAATAAGTAAAGAGACAAAAAAATTAGAAAATGGAATAGACGGTGGGAGGAAGTAAGAGGGAAAGCTGTGTAAGAGAGAGTGGCAGGGGAAGGCCCCTCCAGAAAGGGGACTCCTGAAGCCCGGGAAGGGGGCCGACAGGAAGAGGGCAAAGAGGACCCCCGGAAGCTGCCTGGGCAGGAGGCAGCCCTTGGGGATGAAGGATGGAGATGTGAAGGCAGCTGAAGGCAGGCTACGTGGCAGGGCCTGTGAACAGGGGACAGGCACACAGAACAGGCGGAGGGTCAGCAGGTCTGTTTGGCTGTGAAGGCAGCAGAGTTAATTCTGAGAGGTTGATGCTTGAAGCAGCAAAGGGCATGATGTGACACGGATCTTGAACGACGTCCCTGGCATTCCAAGGGTGTGCATCTGAGCATGTGGATCTGTGCAGTCCTTGGAGGAAAGAAGGCCCAGCTGGAGAACTCGATGCCGTCCCAACTGAGTTTCTCTTTGTAAACATGTGTCCCGTGATCCAGCCTGTTGGCCAATAGCCAGCTTTTTCTCGCAGCTCCGTGCCTCCAACATGGGTCAGGCCAGGAGGAAATGTGACTCAGATGAGCAGCAGAGACCCTCAGGCACATCACCTGAGACAGAAAAAGTACAAAACTCTGACAGAAGAACTTTAAAGCAGAACTTTCAGCAGCCATGATTTTCAGGAACAAATGGTTCGCTTCTTCCAAAACAGTCAGCCCAATGTTGAGGAACATATCCTGGGTGATGAGCAACAGGCATACAAACCACACCCTCAGGAAACAGAAATGCAAAGCACTATCCTAACCAGATGAGCTGGAGGCCACCTGCACTTACCAGACACCCCTGAAGTCTTGTCCAACAGGGAGGTGGAGGGCTCTGTGCTGTGTTTTTACCAGACTTGCCAACGTGTGCATGTGACCCCGCTTGGTGGGCTGGTGCTCTGCCCGCTGGGGTAGCCCTGCTTCCACCTTCTCCACCAGCCATCAGCATGGGCCACCGCACAGGTCTGGACCACGGGAACAGGACGGGAGGAGACCAGAGGACCAGTGAGGAAGTAGGGGGCCCTTTGAGCAGAGCCCAGGGTGCAAGGACACTTGAGAATCTGACCCATGGGGATAAAGGAGTAGCTGTCAGCACAGATGAGACAGGCAGAGGAAGTGCTATGGAAAATCAGAGGCTGAAAGTTACAAGGGACCCCCCTGAGCCCACATGCAGGAGGGTTCTTATATACACAGGAGATACGCACTGATCTGCTGGGAGCCCGGAAGACCTGGCAAGGCTCACCTGACCAAAAGGTATATATATAGACAGATAGATACATATAGGTATAGATATCAATAGACATAAATATACAGATATATAGAGATACTGATACAGGTGCATTTTCCCCAGCAAGCACCTATTTTTTCAGTGAGTGACCTTCCCCAAGGAGAAAGGTACTCTGGAAAAGGGGGTAATGACTGAGACCCACACCTTGGGATGGGCACAACTTTTGTGGAGAACAGAGGTTAAGTTCAGTTCAGTTAAGTCGCTCAGTCATGTCCGACTCTTTGCAACCCCATGGACTACAGCACACCAGGCTTCCCTGGTCCATCACTAACTCCCAGAGCTTGCTCAAACTCATGTCCATTGAGTCGGTGATACCATCCAACCATCTCATCCTTGGTATCCCCTTCTCCTCCTGCCTTCAGTCTTTCCCAGCATCAGTGTCTTTTTCCAGTGAGTCAGTTCTTCGCATCAAGTGGCCAAAGTATTGGAGTTTCAGCTTCAGCATCAGTCCTTCCAACGAATATCCAGGGTTGATTTCCATTAGGATGGATTGGTTTGACCTCCTTGCAGTCTAAGGGACTCTCAAGAGTCTTCTCCAGCATCACAGAGATAAAGAGAGGACCAAAGGATGCTCTGTCTTATCTGTGGCTTTTCTCTGCCTCCTCCCCCACCCAGCCTCAGGAAGATTCTGCTTTCATCCTATCATGTCCTTCTTCCTTCAGCCTCCTGATCTTGCCTGAGTAATACAAAGACTTCAAGGGCCAAACCCAAGTGATCAAGAAGGAGGTATTTCAAACTTCTTATCCTCATTACACTTTTCAAAGAGAAAACAGGTTTTAAATCAATATGTATGGTACAATCCTATCTTTAAAAATATATTATTTATTACTAAAATGGGCAGAGCATTTCTATGTGCTTATATAGAGAGGGGGAGGAAAGTCTGATAGAAAACAGAGGATTTTTAGGGCAGTGAAACTCTGTATGGCACTATGAGAGTGGGCGTGTGTCATTACATTGTTGTTTAGTCACTAAGTCATATCTGATGCTTTGTGACCCCATGGACTATAGCCTGCCAGGCTCCTCTGTCCATGGGATTTCCCAGGCAAGAATACTAGAGTGTCTCCTTCTCCAGAGGATCTTCCCCACCCAGGGATTGAACCCGAGTCTCCTGCACGGCAGGTGGATTCTTTACCACTGAGTCACCAGGAAAGCCCTGCATGTCATTATGCATGTTTCCAAATCCATAGAGTGTACACCAGAAGTGAACCCTAATGTAAACCATGGGCTTTGAGTGATAATGATCCATCAGTATAGGTTCATCAACAGTAACACCTGTCCCCTCGGGGAGGTTGATCATGGGAGAGGCTGTGCATGTGGGGGGGGGGGGCTGCGGGGGGCACGGAATATGTGGGAGCTCTCCATACCTTCCTCTCCATTTAAAAGTAAACCGAAAATCACATTAGTTTTTTTCTTTAAAAATATAATCTTTTATATGGAATCTAGAAAAATGTTACTGATGGACCTATTTGCAGGGCAGGAATAGAGAATGGAAATGTGGACTTGGGGGGTAGGGAGAGGAGAGTAGGATGAATGGAGAGAATATCATTGATATATACACACTACCATGTATAGCTGGGGAGATGCTGTACAGCTCAGGGAGCCCAGCTCAGCGCTCTGTGATGACCTAGATGGGTGGGATGGGGGGGGGGGGGGCAGCCAGAGGCATACTCACGAGGAAGGGGATGTGTGTGTGTGTGAAAGTTGCTCAGTCGTGTCTGACTCTTTGTGACCCCATGGACTATACACTCCATGGAATTCTCTAGGCCAGAATACTGGAGTGGGTAGCTGTTCCCTTCTCCAGGGGATCTTCCCCACCCAGGGATTGAACCCAGGTCTCCCCCATTGCAGGCAGACTCTTTACCAGCTGAGCCACTAAGGAAGCCCTGGATATATGTATACATATAGCTGATTCACTTTGCTGTACAGCAGAAACTAACACGACATTGTAAAGCAATTATACTCCAATAAAAAAATAAATATTACCTTATGTATTTAATATATGTATATACATAATTTTTATATTTTTATAAGTTTAGCAGATATTTATCAGACAGATCACAGTCTTCTGAGTTCATTCACTCCCTTGGATATTTACAGGGACCTCCTATGAGAGGCACATTACCAAAATTGAGCATTAGAATTTAATTAATTTAAGTGATTTTCTTTCTTCATTCTCTCTTTTTTGCTTATCTCCATTTTCTCATTTTTGAAGTCAACAGGTAGTGATAATGAAAGTGAAAGGGTTAGTCACTCCGTCGTGTACGACTCTTTGCAACCCCACGGACTGTAGCCCGCCAGGCTCCTCTGTCCATGGGATTCTCCAGGCAAGAATACTGGAGTGGGTTGCCATTTCCTCCTCCAGGGGATCTTCCCAACCCAGGGATTGAACCCGGGTCTCCTAACATTGCAGGCAGAGTCTTTACCATCTCAGCCACCAGGGAAGCTCCATAGTGATAACGAACCAAAGCAAAAGAGCTTCAGAGCGGTTCTCCTCCACCCTCTGCTCCTGCTTCCTTCTCCAGTTCTCATAGCCCAGGCTAGGCACCTGGTGGAGAGGCCTCAGACTTCTGCTTCAGTGTTTGGACGGGAATTCCCTGCTCCGCTCTTGGCCCTAGAATCCCCTTGGAGCTCAGAGGAAAACCCACTCAGCCTCCCCAGCCCGCTCCAGAAGCACCGAGGGCTAGGATCTGGGTGGCTGTGAAGAGCCCTGTCGTCTCACCACAGTAATATGGTTCTCAGTTCATGCAGCACTGGAGAGGCAACAAAGGAAATAAATGGAATTTCTGCTCAGTGAGTTGATGATAATAATAAATAAGGCCTTTTCTCCAAAGGCTTGAAATCTGTTGGCTCATTTCAATGCACAAAATTATTCATTTAAAAAATCCTCCCCACAGACTTGAAGTAGGTGGGGGATTAGTAATCATTAACCCCATTTTGCAGATGGAGAAATCAGGACCCAGCAGGAGCCGGAGCTCATAACCACTGGCAGAGCAGGTGTCCTGCCTCCCTGGCCAGCACCCTATGTGGAGAGGGGGCGATTGTAGCCTCAATCTGGCACTGGAACCCAGGCCCAGAAAGTGATCCTTGTATCCCCAAGAGTCCAGGCTGCATTCTCCACCTCGTCCTCTAAAGGCATCCCTCCTCGGGCCCAGAGCTCCCGGAGGACCCAAAACCCATCTCTTCCTATCTCTCTGTCCTCCCAAGACTGAACAGACGGAGGGCAGAGTCAAGACATCCCTTCTGCCGCCCTGACGCTGACTGTGCTCAGGACCGGGCCCCCAAAGGCTTCGAATGCTTGGTGATGGATGCTGCATGGGTCAGCTGAACCGTGGCAGAATATCTTCTCTGGTCCCGGCTCTTATATTTGACAGAACACCGCCCAGGGAGGCCGAGGCCGTCATGTGGCTCCGAGCCGGGAGAGGACATCCTTCTCCAGCTCTGTCTTTGCCTGTCAAAGCTTCCAGCCTCAGGTAACCATGGTAATCACCAGTACTAACCACGGCAGAGACAGGAGCCTCAGCAAGCTGGCTCTGACCTGCTCCCACAGCAGACGGCGCGCCAGCTTCTGGCAGCACGTAGGGTCCCCAACTGCCCCTCTGCTGCTGGTGTCCAGGGACTGCGAAGGATGGTCTGTCTACTAAACCCAGGAGTCAGTGCTGGAGGGAGAGAACAGGCCCTAAACCTCTCCCACCGCCAGCAGAGCCTGAGTCAGCCAAAGGTCGAGGATGTGGCCCAAGGATGAAGGCATGATGGTGGTGGCCTAGGACCAGGGCACTGTGCCCTGCACTTCCTGTCCTGTCCCAGCCCTGCCTCCAGAGATGGCAGCCACCAGCCGTCACCACGGGAGGCCAGTCTGACTTGAACCCGTGGGAGAGTTTCCTGGCCGGAAATTAGGGGCATGCACAAGTAATCTTTTGCTGTCCTTGACCTGAGGGCCAAGCCAAAATGGCCACGGTGGAGTTATTCTTGTGAAACGTGGGTGCTGCCCCTCTGACCCACCCCCACGGTGCTCATCAGCTCCAGGGGTGCCACGTTTGCGACATTGGGAGACCCTGTCCCCAGGTCTCTGACACCAGCTACTATTCATCCTACCAGCCCGGCCTCAGTTTTTTCCTAAACCTGCTCCTCATCCCTCCCTCCTATGAAGCACTAAACTTTTTTTCCCCCAGGTGGCAGAGAGTTGAGAATCTGTCCAGAACACGGGGCGTATCGCTTGCAGCTCCGAGGGCCAGAGCAAGCTCCCCGCGGGGGACACAGGAGGCCTTTGCCAGGTCTCGGACACGGGGAGCAAAGGACAGCTGCTGGGAGCCGCTAGAATCCCCACTGCAGCGCCCCCACTCCCCCACCCCCGCCACCACCACCAGGGTTTGCAACAGGCCTGAGGCCGCATCCTGGACTCAAGGGCTCTGCAAATTCGCGACAAACAACACTGAGGATGCTTGAGTCCAGCTGCTTCTGAGAAATCATTACATGGGAAAGGTTCAAGGAACTCGTTTCCCAAGAAACCCCAAGCCCCGGCGGCCGCCAGGTCCAGCTGCCGCTGGGAGCCCAGCCCGGTGGCAGAGAACGACGCGGCGCTCCCTCTAGCGGCGAGCATCCCGCACTGCGCCCGGGGCTCGCCAGCGAGCCTTCCCGCAGGCAGACGCTCCTGCCTGGACCGCGCGCTTTGCCCGAGGGGGAAGTGGTGACCTGCTCACTTCTGGGGAGCAGGGCCACCGCACCCGGGCGAGGGAAAAACCCGTGCCTCAGCGGAGGAGCCCCTCCGGCCTCAAGCCGTTCCCAGCCTGAAGTTCGCAGCAGATCCCCTGCCCCGGCATGGCGGGGGCGGGGGCGGGGGGGGTGGGCCGCCAAGCTGCCTTGGTGGGGGGGCAAGGAAGGCTGTGTGGCCCGCCCCAAACTGAGCCCTCTGCAAGGTCTCTGGGCAACTCTGCCAAGTCGAGCTGTCTCATCTTTCCCGCACTGACTGCGTAGGCAGCCACTCAGGACCGCCACCCCACAACCCTGCCCCTGTCCGCAGCAGCCCACTCCCAGCCCCTAGCACAGTTGGGTCACATGTCCCACCCACCCCTTGGGCGCACACTCTCTTGTTCGTCTCTGTTTCCTGAGTACCACGCACAGTGACTGTTGAATTGGCATACCAATGAAGACCAGCGTTTGCTCTGCCCAAAGGCGCTCCTCCTCACAGAGAGGATCTCTCTTGCCAGAAACCCCAGGACACTCTATCGGTGCCCAGGAAGTTGGGTTCAGTCTTGACTGCCCTCACCATTTCCATATCTTCTTTCCACCCTGCTCTGCCCCCAAACAAAGTTCTTTGAGGATGAAGGGTCTGCCTACCTTATCTCTCTGGGTTGGGGGTCTCTAGAAGAATGCTGAGAAAAGAGTTAAGTGAAGAAGGGAAGGAGGAAGGGATGAAGAGAGAAGGAGAGAGAAATGGAGGACTTTTCATTCACGTCCAGCCAAAGCTAGCCTTTTATTCACACCCACTCTGAATGGCCTGTTCAGTCATGCCACCATCAGAGCCAGGGGTACTCTTACACTCGTTTAAATCAATGTTAATAGCTTTATTGAAATGTAATTCACATTCCATACAATTCACACATTTAAAGTGCAATTCAGTGATTTTTTTTTCCTATATTCAAAGACTTGTACATCCATCACCACCACCGTTTTCCTGACCCCACGTAGAAACTCTACCGCCATTCACAGTCACTCATTCCCTCCCAATCCCCCAGCCCTCAGCAACAATCAAGCTACTCTTTTCGTCTCCATGGATTTGCCCATGCTGGACATTTCATGTAAAAGCAGTCATACAATCTGTGGTCTTTAGTGACAGGCTTCTTTCCCTTAGCATCGTGCTCTCAAGGTTCATTGATGTTGTAGTATGTGTCAGTACTTAATTTCTTTTTATAATAATATTCCATGGTATGGATATATACATTTTACCTATTTATCAGTTGATGGACATTTGGGCTCTTTCCACTTTGGGCTGTGATGAATAATTTTATTTTTATAGTAAAAAAAAAAAAAAAGAACAAAACTGCTTGATGTTTTCCCTGCCTCCAAAGAAGATAGGAGGTAGTTTATTTTGAAAAATGGCAAAGATACAATCAAATCCAAGATGATTCACATATGACTGTTTAATTTTGAGCTTCTTCCATGTTTCAGGCAGGGTGCTAGGTACTTTCACAAAACATTATCTGTTTTTAACAGAACATTTTGAGCTAATTTTTGCATGACAATAGTCCCAATTTAGCTGTAAGGTTCTTCACAGCCAAGGCAAAGAGGAATATACATTATATTGCTGTCCTACTGGCATCACTGTTGGGTTGGAAACGGCTCTCAGATTCACTCTTCTCCTAGAATAAGAAGAGCAAAGCAGCTCTTTGGTTTTCCATCAAGCATAGAGCCTTATTCCTACACCTCATGCTTGTTATCCACATGCTCAGTTAACCGTTGATATCACCCATGCCACTATTCAGTTTGCCCAGATCACTTTCATACCCATGATCTCTTTCAACCCAATGGGGCAGTGCCTGAGCGGTGCTACTACTAGCCCTGTTCTGCATGTCTTCAGTGTTTCTTCAGCAAATGTTTAAGTTGAGTACTATGGGTCCAGGTGAACAAGATAGATACAGCATTGCTACCCAGAACTCGGCCCAGAGAGGAAACCAGACACTAAACAAGCAGACAACTAAGTAATCCCCAAAGCAAAAGTGCTGGGAATAAAACCAATAGGAGGCAGTGATGGAGAACATCCAAGTGGGCAAAGAATAAACTCACCTGAATAATCAGGAGCATCCTCCCTAAGATGGGGTTTTCAGCTGCAATTCTAAGAAGGAGACAAGCCATGTGGTCGGAGGGAGTCTGTTCCCTACAGAGGGAATGGCCTGAGCAAGAACTTTAGGGAGGAAGAGCCTGGTGTGGTCCAGGAAGGGGTGGTGGAGGGGGGAGAGGAGCTGCTGTGGCTAGAAGCAGAGATGGGGAAGAGGTACCAGACAGGACTGCAGAGGTGCCCAGGGGCGGATCAGGAAGGGCCTAACCAACCAAGAAGAGGAGTTTGGGTTTTATTTTCAGTGCAATTAAATTCAGTGAAAAGTTTTAGAAAGGAGAGTGGTGGGATCCAATATAAGTTTTAAAAAGACTGCTGTGTGGAGGATGAACTACAGAGCAAGAGAAGAGGCAGGAAACTCTACTGGGAGGTTCTCAGGGGGTCTGGGAGGAGATGCCCATCATGGACAAGGTGAAGAGAGTCACTTTGCAGAGAAGGCATAAAGAAGAGGGCTACATCACAGGTGGGTCCTGATTTGGATTTGTATGACTAGGGAAAGGACAGTGCCATCTACTGAGGTGGAAGGGTGGAGAAGAAATGGGTTAGGAGAAATGTCAAGAGCTCTGTTAGAGACACAGTTGGTTTAAGATGCTTGTGTAACCCCCACCTGGAAAGGTCAAACCAGCAACTGGATAGGAGCCTGGAGCTCTGAGAAGAGGCCTTCCTAAGATGCAAATTAGGGACTGTCAGCATGGAGGTGGCATTTAAAGGCATGGGTATGGATGAGATCACCTGGGGAGATCTCTGAAGCTTTTGAAGCTTTTCTCTATATCTGTGCCTCCCAAGTGTCAAAACAAGTCAATTCTGTCAGTTTAAAGAGGGAAAAAACTCACAGATGATACTAGCCATTTGGTCCCATTTAAATAAAACTTTGATTAAGCAACTTTTCTTATAGTCAACCACAGGTTTGATTCTATGTGTGCGGACACACAAACCTGAGTGTATCCCGCTGATCAGGTGAGAGCAAAGGAAACTGAGGCAGCAGGCCAGACTCAGGACAGCAAGTGGGCTCACCCCTAAAACAGGGAAACATCCTCCTATCAGGCAGTCAGACTTCACATCGCTAGGTCACCGCTGCAGCAGAAATGTTGTTACAACACAGCCATCACTGACCAGCAACAAGACTGGGATGATGCTCTCAGGGCTAAAAACAAGAAACAGAAGCTCCATGTGTCCACACTCAGGTACAAAGGGGAGGGAACATGTCCAGCCAGTTTTGACCATCCATATACACCCCCATCACCATCTTCACCATCATCACTCTGCTGGTAGAAGAGACATCTTTTGTCCAGTATATGTCTGCAGGAAAAAAAAATCCCCAAGTCTTATTTTTCTGCAAAAAAATCAGTCCTTACTAAAAATATTTGCTCTGGACCCATTAAGAAAAGATGGTATATTTCTGTATTTCTGAGAAACAATCACATTGTTTTCACGATTTTTCAGGAAAAGCTGGGTGAAAACAAAAGGCTTCTCAAGAATCCCTTCCCAGAAGCCAAGGCAACTCTAACTTTCGCTGTTTATGAATGAGGTGACTCAGTCTCTTCCGTCCGCCACAGGCCCCGCCATGGCAACTGTGGGTGACTGACAGTCAAGTTAGGAAGGCAAGAATTAGGAATGGGTTTGTTCATTTTGTTCACTTTGTTCAGAAGCAGCTTTGTCCTGTCATTTCTGAATGATAAGGGTGATTCAGATATAAATGAACTAGTGTCGCGAGGAAAAGAAAAATGTCACCAATCACCCGGTCATCAGTTCTTGATCGTGACAAGGGGCCGAGACCCAAGGTGGATGACGCCAGAGAAAGGAAAATCCAGCCCCAGGCCACCCAATTCAAAGAGCCGACTTGTTGGAAAAGACCCTGATGCTGGGAAAGACTGAAGGCAGGAGGAGAAGGGGATGACAGAGGACAAGATGGTTGGATGGCATCACTGACTCAATGGACATGAGTTTGAGCAAGCTCTGGGAGATAGTGGAGGACAGGAAGTCTGGTGTGCTGCAGTTCACAGGTTCGCAAAGAGTCGGACACGACTTAGCGACTGAACAAAGTCTCAGAAAACCAAAGACAGGGGGATAGGCAAAGTTCACAGGAAAGCCAGTCTGCATGCATCAAAGGCCAGAAAACTCAGAATTCAACCTTGCAGGAGCTCGTGGGGAGACAGCGCTGCAGAGAGGCGGTGAGGACAAGCACAGACGGGAGGAGACCTTGTGCTGGGGGGTCCCAGAGGATTCAGAGAAGACAGAGAGCACAGCCTGGAATGGGCACGAGCGCAACTCCAAGGCTGGCAGGGAGGATGTGTTTGGCACTGGGGAGGCCAGTGCAGATAAGATGCAGAGACAAAGAGTGAGGACCCAGTAGGCAGAGCTATGGGTGAGCACTGGACGGGGCCAACAGGAGCAGAGGCTCTGTCTTCAGGCAGAATCTCCCCTGACCTGAGTCATGTGTGTCCACCCCATGATTCCACCTGAAACCCTGAACAAGATCCACTGGACTCTGTCCTGACTCCACGTTCATTGCAAACACGTGGACCAATCAGCTTCAAATTGTTACACCATTTACCAGAATGTATGCCTTGCCCTCCTATGCCAAACTTCGAACCATATAGATATTTGGGTACTATGAGATAGCAGCTTTACAAATCGTCCAAAATAAAGCATAAGCCCCCCTTCTCCCCACGCCAGTTCCCCAGGCTAGCTGATTTTCATAAAGCCATGGCATTTACTGCCCACTCCTCATCTTTATTTTAAAAGATCATAAGGGGCGCAAAAATTGC